AGAGCTCGAAAGAAACAAACAAATCAAAGTTCAATACATTCGATCAAGTGATAATGCAGCAGATTTGTTTACAAAGGCGCTTCCGACGACAATGTTTCGAAAGCACATACATAATATTGGAATGAGACATCTTCGGGATTTGCACGAATAATAACTCGAGGGGGAGTATGTGCGGCTGTACTCTTTTTTCCTTATCTCGGTTTTTTCCCACAGGGTTTTTCCAGATAAGGTTTTTAACGAGGCAGCATAAACGCACATTTAATAGTGGTAATTCCAAGGGGGAGTGTTATAAACAATTAGGTGGAATCTTACCACTATTAAAACTTATCATTGTATAATTATATTAATGTTGTGTTAAAATGTGTGCCCAACTTTGCCTATAAAAAGGCAACAAATGTAGTGCATTGTGATGTGCACATTTTGAGTAAAGGAAGAAGAGAAAAGAAAGCAGCTTATAATTTGTTCCGGTTTTTATACATTGTGTTCTTTATATTCCTCGCATTTTATAACAGGTCAATGTATCACACCATTTAAAATTAATCAGCATAATTGGTGATGGTACCATTTCAGTTTGAATATTGACACCAATATTTGCAACCTTTTATAACCGTATGTAGTTCAACATTGGGTTATGCATATCTAATTGGTGGATACTTTTTTTAATAATAAATTGATATGTTAATTTACATACATATGACCCTGAATCAGCTCTGATATAAGATATTATACTAGACGACTTTAATGGATAGAAAAGAATATATCAGAGAATAAGTCGGCTAGGACACATGTCATAATGAAATGGGTCAAACTCAACTTGGGCACTAAGGTACAAGGAGGTTAAGGTATCCCAAACCTCATATTCTCTACATTGACTATGATGATACTCTCATTTTACGCTCTTGATTTGGAGTCAGTGCTGACTTAGGCATCGGATGCTCGACGCCGGGACCCTTGGGTTCTTGAAGGTACGGAGGCCGTCCGAATTGAAGGAGCCCGGGTGAAGTCCATTTCACTACCAAACTCGATTTGAATTTGGGGATGGCCTAGACCATGGTCAACGGATTCGACTTAGGCCGGGTTTGTGCCGGTTTTCGTCGGGTGACCCATTGTCATATCTAGTGTACGTACAACATTGCCCAACTTATATTTCGTCCACAAGCAACAAAATAATAATAAGAGGGAAAGCAAAATAATGTTGTATGGCGAAAAGTGAAGGAAAAAATCAGCCTTTCTCTCTCTCTCTCTCTCTCTCTCTCTCTCTCTCTCTCTCTCTCTCTCTCTCTCTCTCTCTCTTCTCGAATCTCCCCTTTTTTTGCTAAAACCAAAATCGGTCGAACAACACGCCTTTCCCCAGAGGCGGCCATCACCGGGTCGTGCGGCCGAATTTTGAAGGCTCGTCGGACTGGTGGCTTCATCTTCTCGGTAAGGCGGCGGGTTCGCCCAATTTGGATTTCGCTCCTTCTACGTCGTCAATGAGGTTCTTGGTTGGCGGTTCCCCAGCGTCTGGGCAGCGACGAGTTTCCGACGAGCCTGCATGGGTGGGTGTTTGTTATGTTTTGTGTGTTTTTATTGTGTTTTATTTTCTTTAGTCGAGTCTTTTTAGGTTCGTTTTGTGTTTCCCGTTTCATCTTTGTTTACTTTTTTTTAGTAGCTTTTAGTTTTCGATGTGTGTTTCTCTTGTGTGTTTTGGTGTTTGTAGGTCCGGAAAGAAGAAATAGTCATTTCGTGATGTGTCGTCTCGAGTATTTATTCATGAAAGTTGTATGGTGGAATTTTATTGTGCCTTCCATGACGAGGAGAAAAAGAATTGATAAATTGAGTCAAAGATTCAAGTCAATCGGAGAACATGCAAAAAATTAGAGCGAACTGAGCCTCAAGTAGTCACCAGGACCAATTCCGCAAGCCGCGAAAATCAGACTCGCGAGTTTCTCCCAACTCACGAGCACATGCCTTGGGTTGAGGTTTGGATCTGTGCTCGCAAAAGTTAAACTCGCGAGCTGCTTGCTCGCGAGTCACAATCCGCCCGCGAGTTCAGCGCCCGCTAGCTGCGAAACATCCCCAGCCTGCGAGTGCCCCTCCAGCACTGCCCACGAGTTCTCAGTCCGCAAGCCGCGAAAGCTTCCTTGCTCGCGAGTTTCCACAGCCCCCAAGCCTTACACTCGCGAGCAACCTCCGAGCCCGCGAAAATGCAATTTTAGCTCGCGAATTCCATCTAGCCCGCGAGTCATGATCATTAAATGTGTGTGTTTTAATATGTGTTTATAGTGTAGCTATAAATAGACTTGTTGCTTTGTATTTTGAGAACAAATCTTTAGTTTTTTTCTCTATTCTCTCTCTAGTTTTCTTTCTCTCTAAGAGCTCAAAGTCTCTATTTTTATTGTAATATTTCTCCATCAAGATTACAACTTTCTAGCTTATTTCTTCTCGTGGATGCACTAGAGACTTGGAGACTTCGTTTAAGGTCCAATCGAAGACTTATAGGTGAAGGTCTAAGATCTCGTGAGTTTTTCTTGCCTGTATTTATTGGATTTTTCTAGGGTAAAGGCAGGAGCTTTCATGAGTAGAATATGCACTCATCCTCGTAGGCTAGGGATTATGTGATTTTTTTATTGATGCGTTAGCTTAATTGCGTGAGCGAGAATTGATTAAGAGCTCGATTAATTGATCGCGAGTGACGATTGCTTGATTGCATGTTCCCGAACCTATGAGTGTCTTCTTTCCATCTCTGGTCTTAGGGTACCTTGTTATTTTTCTCTTTATTTTTCTTTTTCTTGCAATTTGAGGTCTTGCCTGCTTTAAATTTCAAATCTTTCTTTCGTTTAGTTTAAAGTTGCTATCTTTAGTTCAATCCAAACCCAAATTGCGAGTAGAGTGTTGAAGATATTTATTTTCTTTTCTTATGGGAGTCAATTGTTGCTTGAATCCGTGTTCGCACAACCTTTATTTGAGAACAACTCGAGTCGAGTAGCTCAGTTACCATCTATCCAAAAAAAACACAAATAGTGGGAGAAAGGATTGTGGTAGAGAAAGCATCACAGGGATGGGACGAATTCTTAGCTGCTAGGAAGGGAGAGCTGTTGATGAGGCAGGAGACTGACTGGAACAATTTGAATTGGGTGAATCATTTTCAAGGTGGAGTAGACAAGCTATGTTTAGCTATTAGTACTCACAGATCTAGTCAGAGGTTAGTTGGCTTGGGGTGTGTTGCAGCTGTCGAAGGCAAAATCCTGCAAACTGGACTGCTAAATTGGAGAATGTATAACCTAAAGAGATAGCTGAGCTCATGGGTCTGAGATGGGGATTAGAGGTGGAATCTTTGCATGGCTCACTGGACCTACTATTGTGTGAGAGACCACCACTGGGTGCATGACCAGCTCAGAGACATGGCACTTCAAGGGTAGTCCAGAAGCATTCTGTTTGATATCTCTTTCTTATCTTCTGTGCTAGTACGGTATTTGTTTGTTTCTCGCTTATTGTTTTGTGTTTCTAGTTATAGGTTGGCCAAGTTGGCCATTCAGGGGGACTGATGTTTGATCTCCCGTGTTGGAAGTTTTCCCCGTGATTGGGCTTTGTACCTAGGTTTTGTTTCCTTTTCGGTCAGTTGATCGACAATTTTATAAACTTATTTATGAGGTTTATTTAAGTTGATTGTCATTGCGAAAAAAAAAAGAATCAATCCCGAAAATTTTGTCGGCCAATTTTGGATTATCCAAGTCTTGGATTAATGAATGAGACGTAGTTTTGCATTTTTTATAAATTATAATTGATAAAGGATAACTATACTTGGTGGACCAGACCGGGAAAATAGCCAGATCAAGCAGGTCTGATCATCGGGTCGAAGACGAAGAAAGGATTGCTCAGGCCAGAAGACCTTCTGGTCGAGGAAACTACTGAAGGCCAAGAGGTCGAACGATATGAAAGGAGATACCTGGTTGAGTGATCGACCAGACCAACATGATAGCAATTAGCATTATCGAGGACATACTAGGTCGAGGTAATAAGGGTCGAGCCCATGATCGGGGCACTTAATGAAGAAAGGTTAGAGATAAGAAGGAATCTTGGGGAAATTAAGCCTCAACATGGGTAAAATCACGTGGCACTACTTGAATGGTCCACGCCTTGTAACCGCCCTTGACAACTCGGATAGCCCTGACAGGTATGACAAACTAGATAGCTCACGTGCTCGTGGGTAGGAGAGCTCACGCGACCGATTTGGGCCCTAAGGTATCTTCTCCCTAGCTATAAAAGGAAGTACGGTATGACTGTAAACCCATTATTCTCTATTATACTTGGCATTTTTCAGAGAGCTTTCCTATACATTCCATCTCTACATATACTTACTTTAACATTGGAGACTCTTGACCAGAGACCCCCTACGGTTGAGAGTTTTGCAGGTTCGTGGACATTCAGCCGGCAATCCGTTCGTGTTTTAGGGGTTTCTAGCTCTTTCATTTTGATACCAATATTATAAAAGTTTTTGTTTTATTTTATTTTATTTTGTTTTTCTATTCAACGGCTTAAATGCTTAATCCTTAGCTAATTGTCTTTTAATTAACAGAATGTACAAAATATAATTAATATATGAAATTTAGGGCTATCAAACTAATTGAGGTACTTGAGGAGCACGTAAACATTGAGCAACGAAATTTATTTTCCACTTTCTAATTTTGTTTTGCACGAGTTGATTATTGGTCATGACATGAAAGAATACAAAAACAATTAAATCCAATGCATTCATCCGTTTCTTAACCTAAGATTAATAAATACTATTAGGAATTAGTTATTAATATATACCATATTAATAAAAAAGATTATATATATTTTTCTATCTTTTACTCTTCCCTATTCCTCGTTGACGTAGGAAACAGTTCTATTTTCTATCTTTATATATACACATAACCAACCCTATCATATACCGTGCTTTCTTGAACTCTAGGAAAAACACAATATATCTGTTCTTCATTACAGTTACCTTGAATTGAGATCAAACAAAAGGAAGGATGAGGAACATGCACGGCACGTTCTGCCATGATCGTCGAGAAGTTCGTACAAGGAAGAGCATGCTGAATTTCAGACAACAGTATTCTCATCGTAAGTATTCTTACAGACTTATTTTCTTCTTTGATGAACTTTGATATATCATATATATGTTCCTACTTTACTATTCGATTAATTTTGTTTTTTTCTTAATTTTCATCGATAGAGGTTTGGGTGCCCGCCATACCATCGTGGGAGAAAGAATTCTGCCAAACAATCGGCTTATTCACGTGGGGAAATTTCTTGGAGGCCAAAAGGGAGACGATACGTTCGCCGGGTAAGATCATCGATTGGGACGACTCGGCAGCTAAGGACGCGTTTGACCACGCCAAGAGCGCTTTTTTCGCCAAGAAATTCAATATCGACCTCCCAAATAATCATGCCGCTAATTACCCAATACCGGGCCCGGATTCGTATATTGACGAGATTAAATGGCACGATGATGGAGTGAGCCTGGATAATGAGTTGGAACTGAGTCGAGCAGCGAGTGACGATGATCAGAAGGAAGATGGTTATGATCATCCTGCAATTGATTTAAGTATGATAAAGCCTACAGGATGGATAGATGATAATGATCAAGTGTATTTTTCTAGCGGCAAAGTTTTGGCAGGTCTTGTTATTGGGTATTGAGTATTGACTGTTGAGTGAAATTTGAAGTGTTGAGAGAGAATTATGTTCTTTCCATATGCAGTTTTTGGTTTTGGTGTATGAAAGCTTATGTATTGTATGCAATTTTGGGCCAACTACTTTATAACAACTAAAATAACAAATCATTTTATTGTTTGAGTACTATATGTTTGTCATGGCAGTCTAATATATTATAGTTTATTCTACTAAATTCATTTGAACTTTGAGTAATGCTACAAGTACATAGCATTGTACATAGGGATATACAAAACACTCATATTGAGTAGACCCACCAAAAATAAAAAATTAAATAGACCCCAATTTATGTGAGTGTTATGTACACTTCTATGTACATTTGTTATGTACTTGTAGTATTTTCTTAAATAGAATGAAGAAAAAAGAAAGAGATAAAAAATATAAGTAGAAATAACTATTTTTTTAGCATAAGAAAAAAAAGGCAACTTTTATGGTCCATACACTTTGAAACTAATATTTTAGATATTGCAAATGAAATTGTAGCACAGTGGTATAATGATTGTAACATGTAGTGGTAGCCCATTGTGATTGTAACATGTAGTGGTATAGTGGGGTTGTGCGATGCGATTATACAGGTGTAAACGAGTCAAGCCGAGCTCAGCTCCAGCTCGAGTCCTCAACGAGTCGAGCTCGACTCTGTTTTTTCATGAGCTTATAATCGAGTTCGAGCTTAGCTCGTTTATCAATATTAACGAAATGAGTCGAGCCTTAATGAGCTAAAATCAAGTGAATTATAGAGATTACCTAAAAATCATTTTTTCGAGCCTTATCTAGTTCAATCGAGCTCCACTCGTTAGTTGAATAAGCTTTAAATGCGTTCGAGCTCGACTCATTTATCAAGCGAACCGAGTTGAGCTCGGGCCTTAACGATACGAGCCGAGCACACGAGAAATTTGTTTAGTTTAATTTAACAGCTCTAGATATGATTGACCCTCCAATTATATTATTCCAAATCATGGTATATGGACTCAAAAGGAGCTGTTTGTTTGTCAGTTATTACAAGGCTCTCTTGGGAAACTGAGTTGAAACGGAAGATGAATTTCGTGGTCTAGAAAAGGTTTTTTTTACTTATGGTATTTTCACCTAAATATTACGTGGCAACATATTGAATCTAAACTATAATAGGAGCAAAGAGACACTGTCAAGAGATTCTTGCGACCTTAGCTCATTCATATCCTAACGGTTGCTAGAGACTCTTTGACCCTCCACTAG